GCGGGAGCGCCGCCACGCTTCCCAAGAGGCGCACTAGCGCAGTGCGCCACCGGGCCGGCCCCCATAGTGTACTTTTTGCAAAGAAGTTACTACACAGCCCACATGTAAGGAGTCGGAAGTTATATTCCCCTTTGTAAAAGCTTTTAAAAAATAAACCTGAGTGTCCATAAACAGAAGCTTCCAGGTGTATATCAGATATTTCTAAATATTGTCATAGTGTTGCTAAACTACAAAGTCTTTGTCTCTCTCAGCTGATGTCAAATAACTTAAAGTAGTTCAATAAAATTAGACAATTTCACATGACAGTTTAAAGACCTTTTCTTTTGAGTAATTTCTTGATTCTTCTTCACATTTCTTAGCTTGTTCTAAGTTCAAAAAATTTAACTGTTACTAAATTGAAGGAGAAAAAGTAGAATCTCTATAGTCATAAACTAATTTTAGTGCAGCCAGTAATTCTTAATAAAATAACAATTCTACCCAAAAAGTCAGGGAACCTCACAGGGTCATGAATTTGAACCTTTAGGAGCAAAACCAATCCCAAAATGATCACAGACAGAACATAAAGAAGTCCTGATGCAAAGCTGCTTGCATCACTGCATCACAGCAATGCAGATTAGGAGATGTCACAGGACATCTCTACCTTTCTGAATAATTATTAGGATAAATTACATTTTCTGAGAATTAGCAAAACTGTTACCTGATAAAAATGCTTTGTGATCTGGCCACCATCCTTTACAAAGAAGACTGAAGAAGCAAAACTATCCCAACAGTCCCTAGCCCAAACAATATTTTATATACATACAAAGAATGCATAACACCTCATTCATGTAGTTACTTGCTGAGACATTTTTTAGTGCTAGCTTCACACAACTGCAAGGACTGCTGAGAACAAGACTTATGCTCTTCCAAGCACTTTTCTTCCACAAATATTTTCCTGCTTCCCCCATTACTTGAAACAGGACACAGAATTATGACAGAGCCAGGAGCCCATCATCACAGTTAGAATGTGACTTTACCCTTAGACTAATTACTATTACTTAAGCAGTTACCAAATTCCCAGTATGTTTAAATAATGGGATGGATTGGATTTGAAATGGCTGAAGAGCTTGTTAGATATTGAATGGGTATAATGAAAATCCGCAGAACAGACATCTAAACCAATGTGTGTGGAGAAGTAATAAGCTTGAGCTTTTAGATGCTTCCAGACAAGCAGACTCTCTGCAGCTTTGTGAATGTAATTGGAAGCAGACCTTGCTTAGCACAATTCGTATTGTGTTCTGAAGGTGATTACGTTCTGTCCTCCTGAAGAACTAATTCATTTTGAAGCATAATAATATCTGCAAATTGGCTTAGTTAGAAGGATTTTACGGAGGGTATATA